TATTTTTATTTTGTCTCCGTTTGATATGGAATAGTTTTTTTTTTATTATTATTATCAGTTTAAAAACTAAAAATTCTTTTCGCAGTATTGTTAGATCGTTTTTAAAATGTATTTCTTTGAAAAGCATTTCTTACCGTACCTAATTTCGTATTCCATATCCTTCAGTGATATATATGTACACCGAAGAGCCATTACATTATGACCACCGTGCTAATAACATGTAAGACCACCTTTAACCCTCAAAACTGCTAGCATCCGCCGTGGCATTGATTCCACGAGGTGCTGATAGGTAGTCTGAGGTATCTGGTATCAAGCACTCACCTGCAATTCCCTTACATTGCGAGGGGGTAGCGTAGCAGCACGAATTTGGTTTTCCAAGTAGGACCACAAATGCTCTATTGGATTAAGGTCAGGTGAATTCGGGGCCAAGACATGACTTGAAAGTCACTGGAATGTTCCTCGAACCAATCCATGACGATTCGACCCTTATGACATGGTGCATTATCCTGTTGGTAAACGCCATCCCCCGCAGGAAAAACTGTTGCCATGATTGGATGAACCTAGTCTTCAATTATGTTCAAGTAGCTTACAGACGTCAGGGATTGTTCTATGAGGATTATGGATCCCAATTTGCCCCATGAAAACATTGTTCCTGGGCGAGAAACCATGAAAACCTGAGTGAGCCCATTGTTATAGATGGAGGGTGGTCATAATGTAATGGCTCTTCGGTGTATATAAATATATATATAGTTTTATAAAAAATAAATAAATTTCTTTTTTTTTTTTCCTGTTACACTTAATTATTTTTGATACACCATGTAAATGTAAAGAATTCTGAAGCTCAAACTATTTTAACATTTCAAAATGAAAATAAATCTTTTGTTTTATACATCGAAATTTCCAATTGTGCTTTTAATTAACAGTTACTTTCAAAGCTGTAGAATTTGAAAATCTTATTCGAATTATTGACTATCTGAGGGTCTCATCCCGGTGCATTGTGGGTTAAAATACAAAAGTTTCAAAATTTCTTTAATATACAGCTAACCAAATGTAAAATGGTTAATTTCGAAATGTTGTACCACCCTCGATAATGTAATCTAAATCTGCTACAGTTTATAATGACAAGGACATTATAATATCACCAATTTCTCCCCAATCAACTTTTAGATTACATGAAAATTTAATTCTGATTTTAACCAAGTTTGCCCCCTTCCTCTTGGCACTACAACCAAGACCATACCAACGAGTTTTTTTTTTTTTCTTACTATCGGAATCTATAAGATGTATATTGTTCCCAAATCACTTTTAATGTTTTTAAATCTTTCTCAACGTTCTCAAGCCATCTGAGAAGCGACTACGAGTTCCTAGTTCTCTTATACCTTCTGGCTTATTGAAGGAAAGGAAACTGTCTAAAAAAGTTACAAAAACTTAGAAGTTCGCCCCCACAAATTTTAAATTCATTGTCGGGTGGGTAAAAGACTTCTTCTTTTCCCTCTAATTGCAACTAATTTTCTGTTATTTGCATTGGGCCTGTCACCTAGTTAAATAGTCTTATAATCGATATCAGATTGATGAATAATATAGCTTGAGGTTTAAAATAGATTAAGGAATAATCATCGGTTTTAACCCTAAATGCGCTATGATGCTTCATAAGACGACTTGTTGCAATCTTTTCATTTTAGCCTGTGGACTATAAATACAAAATATATGAACTGACATCTTATAGCGCTGTGTCTCAAACAACTGATTCAAATTTTTTGTTCAGAATAAAAAAAAATTTCTGTGAGGGCATTTGAATTTTCGAATTCAATCCATTTTATATCATCTAGTAGTATAGAAGTTTTCATTATTCTGCATAAATATTTTGTTCGTGATACTTAAATCTGCGAGAATAAAAAATATGAAATGTGATAACTATAGGAAATCCACTTTAGTTGCTTTTCTTTCGCTTATCTCTTTGCTGTCCTTCGAATGTAAATAGTAAAGGTATGATTGATTCTATCCAAGTCACAGGCAGGGCACACAGTTGTGGGCTGGGCAGGAAAAAAAGAGGTAAAGATTAAACACTGATGATAAACCCAGTTGTAGCTGGTTTGGTTAAAGACAAATTAAGCCCTCGTTATTCTTAATTTTAGACTATTCATCGCTAATTACTTTTTCTTGGGAGGAAGAAAAAAACAGCCCTCTATATGTGTCGAACAGTTTAAAAAAACTTTGGTAGTCACTAATGTTTTAATAGTCTTTAAAAAATGTAAAGGCTATAATGAAATAATTTTCATACAAGTTTTTGCTCTTTTCTGCCTCAATATGCTTTAGATTTCAGTCCTACTTGTAGGAGAAAAAATGCATCTTTCAATCTATGTTTCTCAATTTCCCTAACTTATTTAATTACTACTCGCTTTGGAGGGCCAGAAGCTAGATAAAGTGGATTCATCACCTCATGAGTGGTTAAATCGTGTCATTTGTTTATGCCATGATTCTGCAGCCAATCAAGTTTGTCGAACACGTTTGACGTCGCAGTAGGTATCAAATTAAAATTGATTCAGCGGGATAATAAACCAAGATTTATAGCAGTAACGGTTACATACCGTGCACAGCCACGTGATTTGGCACAGTCATTCGAGTTTAGTATTCTTCTCGATTTACAGGTACCAATTACATGATTAGAAGTTTAATTAATAATTTATTGAAATTGTTTTATAGAAATACAATTTCAGTTGCAGTCTGGAAATATTAGTTTAAGATTTCAAATAAAAGATACATGAATTTAAAATGAGAACAGGGAATTTACAAACTTGCTTCCTTTTTGAAGAAATTTTAAACAAAATCTCCATTTGAGAGAAAAGATAGATCTGGTTCACTGTAACGACATTCTTTTAAAAAAGCTTTTGTCGTGGGTCGCAATGTGCAGTAACAATTTAATGCTATGAGCATTCATCGTCTTACTAGATATGAACGCTCGATTACTGGATTTTAGCTGATTATAATAAAAAAAATTACTTTCTAAACAGTTATTGACAGAGAGATAAAATCATGACTGAACTCAGCACCTTTCGCAAGATTCCTGTTATTGCAGGAATTACTTTTCGCAAGCTGTATGACATCCAATGCCTAAAATTGCTTAATCATCTCCTCCCTGTCAGAATCAGTTTCAATTGATACTCGACCTTTATCTATCATTCCGTTTGGTGCACTGCATTTAAAAATTGTAAACTGTTTTTAAAAATGTTGTTTTATACTATCAACCAGTTAAAATTTGAGAGCACTAGCTTGTCGGAAAATGATTGGAATTTATATTGTAAAATTGAACACGAGAAAGCAGGATAAAAAATGTCTCTAATTAATTTTATCAAATTTAATAAAATAAAGCATTTATTTAAATGGTAAAAACTAATTAATTTAATTAAGTAAGATAAATTATTTGACTATGATATATTCATTTATTTAATTACATGATAATAAAACGTATAATGAGGGCAAAAATCACAAAGCGCTGGCCAAGCTTCATTTACTTTTTTGACCTAGTATCCCACTGTAATCTTTGCATGAAGTAATCATTTGATCTCTTTTTTATTCCAGTTGATTGTCTCCAATAAAACGAGTTTCAATTACTGTTGGTTCGTCTTTAGTGTACTGGCTTTAAGCAACTTTAACTGTTTACTTTTAAGCAACACATTGCACATCTTTATTACCACGACACTTCCATCAATCAGCCAATTTAAACCTTTCACCAAGATCTTTCTCCCTAGATCTCCAATAATATCTCCAACATTTCAACACACGCGACATCTATATTGTATTTTCTAAAAATGTGATACATGGGCTTATAAGTTTGACACAAGGGTTATCTCGGATTTTGAATCGAATTTTTTTTTGAGAAAATTATTCAGTAAATAACTGTATATATTTTATAATTGTTGTTGTTGTTAATTTACGTCGCACTAGAGCTGCACAATGGGCTATTGGCGACGGTCTGGGAAGCATCCCGGAGGACGATCCGAAGACATGCCATCACAATTCTGATCCTCTGTGGAGGGGATGGCACCCCTGCTTCGGTAGCCCGACGACCTGCGCGTGAAGTCGAGCACTTTACGGTAGCACAGTTTAACGAGGACCAATACCGCACACCCTCGGTCCCTACGCAGACTGATCCAAGTGGTCACCCACCCGCACACTGACCGTAGCCAGTGATGCTTGACTTCGGTGATCTGCTGAGAACCGTGTCTTAACGATCAGTCCACTGCGGGACATTTTTTATTAATTTTTTTATTTTTATTTTTTTTCTTTTTATAATTGAATACTTACAATTCAAGAAGAAGAACACTGCCGATACCACATGATTGAGTTCTATCACGTGCTTGTGCCCGGCGTGCTAACATTACTGAAATTAGGCTTATTTTATTATCAAGTAAAATTGATTTTCGAATCAGACTTCATTGGATACCTGAAGTCAAATACATCACATGCACGTGTGTGCGTGTCTGCATCAAACCTGATTGACTGCTAAATCGTAACATAAAGAACCCACGCATGACGCCGCTAAAAGATATCCAATAGCACAAAACCGCACACATTATACCTGTATTGATTGTTATCACTGACTGATAATGAAATTATATATTTAGTTCAAACAGTTAATACTTTTGAGAACGTTATTTTAAAAGTGTACTTTACATCTTTTTATTTGCAATGAAAGTAATGAATAGAAAACGTCTTTAACTTTTTAATATACAATAAATGCTTTCTCTTGTCCTGAGTAGATCATTTAGTTTCCTTATAAGGGTACCAAGGATGATTCCTTTTAACATTTCACAATGAATTTGTTAAATTATATGAAACATTCAATTTTTAATAAAGGCTCTGAACTTCTCCCGCTACACTATAATGCCAGTTCATAGCAGAGGAGAACGGAATTGAAAATCGCCAATAGCATCAAAAATACACATTTCTAGTAAACCCACAATAAAGAATGAGCGATAGCGATGTGAACAATGACAAAATTAACCAATGAGAATTACGTACTGAAATATCAGTATCGGTTGCCAAGATCTTATCAAGCAACAGCATTTTGAAACTAAAGATTACAAGTAAATACATGAAAGTTAATTTAAAATATCAAAATATTCATCATCATCAACATTTCTTATTATTATTCGTTAATTCCAGCTCTGATATTAGAATTATGTAATGGCTTATATGACTTATAACAAATTTCTGTATTTCGTATATTCTATTCACTACTAGAAAAGACCATATATTATCCATCATTTCACTAGCTACTGAGAAAAGTTATTTAATTTTTTGTTGGTTAGTGAAAACAAGGACTTGATGGCGAGATCTCTTTCACAGTAAGAACTACTAAGTTGAAACTACATTTTATACAGAACGACTTTAGATTTGAAGAACATAGCTCCATTAATTAATATCAAGTCAATAAATTTTTTCTTAACAATATTTTGTGATCTTACTTGAAAGACGATATTTCCTTTGCATTGTATTATCGATTCAATTTAAAGCGTCATTTGTACAATCAATAAAAAATAGAATAAAGAAAGAAATTTGCACAATCTAACTTGACTATTATTCCAGTTTTTAATAGTCTAATAGTTTTCATAATGACAATTTTTGTAAAAAACTTCTTAAGCTTATGCCATATTATATGAAAACATAAGCCTCGTTTAATAGAGTGCTGCGATGGAATATTCAGTGCTTTTAAAATTGTATTAGAATAAGATGACTCAATTTTAATGACTATCCCACATATAATATTATAAGTATTTTTCACACTATCTGTAAGTTTTTCAGAATATTAAGTTAGCCATAAAATATGTTAATGGATGTTTGAAATGAGTTTAAATTTTGAAACTAAGCAATTTTGAGAATTAGTAATTTTGCTTTCCCTTAAAATGAGCTTTCCTAGCATTATTGTTTAGTAAACAATGTCAGATAAAATCCCTCTTGTTATGTAGTTCTGCATCTAAAGAATGCTTCTTGTACAAAATGTTCTAGTTTAGTGTTTATCTTGATAAAATTATGCAATTTTTTTAACAATTAAGGACTTATCTAGAGATTAACTTAATATCTATTATCTACTTCTGCAACTAATTACCTACTAGCTTATGACTGACAAGACTTTCAGGTTCAGTATTGGCTACATAATCTATACAAATTCTTTATCTACCAAAATTTTAAAAATCTTCTAGTAATATATTTGAAATTCAGATAAAGGAAATTAAATTAATGCAGTTTTTATCTAATATAAACATGGATCTTTGTGAGAAAAAAAATCTTTTAGGTTTAATTTTTAATATAAAAGAGAACAATTTTAGTTTAAAGGAATATTTGAGTAGCAAAATAATCAATTAATAATAAATAAAAATTTACTTAGTTTGAAGAAATTATGTGAAATATATATTTCATAATAATTTTTATACATATAAAATCTCATTCCATTCATATTACCTACAAGTATAATAAAAAAATTTCGCGGTGAAATATCTATATTTTTCTTGTTCAACTTTTATCTTTCAAAACTAACACATATAAGGTTTTTACTATATATTAATTTTATTCTTATCAATGTTTTTTTTTCTATCATTCATACACCCAATAAAGAATCGTTCACTCACTTAATTTGAACTCAACTCAGTTTATAGTTCCTATCATAGTGATTCAGAATGGGTTATCCCAATTTAGGAATGTGAATTAACTTAAATAACCAATTTAACTTGAAATCCATTTTAGCTTAAATTACCAATTTAAGAATTTTAAACTCACACCAATTTTTAAACATAATTTTGAAATCTATGATTCATGTTTCACGATAGATAATGTTTCAGAATCCAGGTTTTTTTTCTGGGGAAGGGAGGTTAAGATACAACTCTTGGATTTAATTTTTTTCTTAAAATTAGAACAATTTTAATTGAAAAATAAAAAAGAAATATTTTCTACACAAGTTCCATGTCTTGTAATTCACCAATTGTTTGTCCTGTATTTGTGTCTTACCGACTACAAATACAAAAAATTATATTTCTGATTGAAATGCCTATATTTTGTTTATCTTTAACCCATGTAGAGTTTTTATCAATTTAATATTACTATAATAATAATACTATGTATTAATTTAATATTTTTGGTCTATCAATGGTTTTTCTTTAGCACACTCATAGTTCTTATCATTCACTCACTCATAGCGATTCAAAATTGGTTATCCTCCCAATTTAGAAACATGAATTTATATCCTAGCAATTTAAGAAATTTAAACTCAAACCAATTTTTAAACATAATTTTAAAATCTATAATTTGTTATGAGCAATGTTTGAAAATCGAAGGGTTTTGTTTGGAAAGAGGGATGAGATATTACCCCCGTAAGAATAACAACTCTTGTGATTAATTTTTACTTCAAACCAGAGCAGTTTTAGTTGAGTAAAAAGAATACTTTCTACAAAAGTTCCATAATTGTTTTTCAGAATATTTAATTAAATCCAAAACATTTATTTTTAATACTGACCCTAACTAGTTGATAAAAAAATTCTATTTTTAAAATTTTCATTCGCTATGTATTTTATGCCACTTTCTTTTTAAATATTGTAGCTATCATCTTATACAATTTATGCACACAGGTTGTTTTATGCTCTTGGAGGCTCTGTCAGTCCAGGTAAGAGCAATGATGAGCTGATTGACCATCTTATTGATGCAGAATTTATCAGGACACCGGCCATACAGCGTGTATTCCGTTCTGTGGATCGAGGTAATTATTACCACCCTAGCCACCGACAAAATGCTTACAAGGATATAGCCTGGAGAATGGGAAATTTGCATTTATCAGCCCCCTGTGTTTATTCTGTGGTAATGGAAACTTTGAAATTGAAACCTGGCCTCTCATTTTTAAATCTTGGAAGTGGTAGTGGATATCTAAGCACAATGGCTGGTTTACTCTTAGGTTAGTATTGGTTGATTTTGTTAATTGATTTATTTACTGCTACTTTTTAAAAAGCATTGTTCAAAGTTCCTCATAGGAATAAAAAAGGGCAGGGTGTTCCTTCACTGAAAAAGGTATTTTTAGTTAAAGGACACTTACTTAACACCAGGGTTGGAGTTTTTGCCGGCAAAAACTGGTAAAAACCGGCAAAAACTGGTAAAAACCAAATTATCTAAATTGCTGATTAAATATTATTACAAAATACTTGAAACAAATTTAAATCAATCATAAGGAATAATAATTTTGATACATTACATGAAAGAATTATTTTTAACATATTAATAATTAATATAAAGACAATAATTTTTAAAACATTAAAGTTTTTGACCTCTTTTCATTTTAGAATCCTTAAATAAATGTTTTTTTACAAATAAATAAATATTATTATTTGTATAATATTATTATTATTGTATTATAAAAAATTATTATTTGTACAATAAGCTTGATAGATATTTTATGCTTTAAATTATAGTTATATTAATTTAAAACAAGTTCATTTCACTGGAAAAAGAGAATAATTGCAAATTTTCCAATCAATAATGCTTTAAACTACTAAAATCATATATTATTACATTATGATTTAATTATGGAATAATAATTTTGTTAATTTTTTTGTAATTATTTATATTTATACTATATATTTCAATTTTAGGAATAATTTCGTACCAAAAACATGTTTTTGTCCTCTCATCTTGGAAATATAGGTTTTTGCCACTTTTTGCCAAATTGCTTGGCAAAAACCTGTTTTTGCCAGGACGGTTTTTACCGGTATTTACCATGGTTTTTTCCACCTGCGGCAAAATCTTGCCAACCCTGCTTAACACTGTAAAAAAATTTAATATTATGTAATAAGCCGACAGGACTTTGCATCAAAAAGGTTCTGGGCTCCAAATCCCGAGCAAGGCATGGATATTCTTGGAGAATTTTAGGAATTACTCCATGAATTTTAGGAGAAATTTTTAAGAGTTTGATTTTCTGTGAATGGACTTTTTTTAACCATTAGAATGATATGAAGAAGACATAAAATGATTATAAATTAATTTCTTTTCTTAAAGTTATAAACTGCAATGAAATAGAAAAATAATTGTGATAACAATAAAATAAAAGAAATAGATAAATAATTGGTTTTTGATGTGCTTCCAACAGCAACTTTGTCAAGGAAATTTTATGTTAGTCAAAATATTTTGGTTATAAAACATCCTCTCGGTACTTTAATTTCATCCACTTAGGTAGGAAGAGACCTATTTTTTCCAGGTTGGTTTGTTCCACAGTGGAAGAAACTTGCCATCCTTGCTCATTTGTGAATAGAATTTTGTGCACATAGTAAAATTTGACATCTCTTAATTCATATTCTTTGTTGTCCCTTAGGTCAGTATGGTATAAATCATGGGATTGAATTTCATGAAGATATTGTTGAGTATGCATATGAAAGACTAGATGAGTTTCTGAAGAACTCAAAAGTTGTGGATGAACATGATTTTTGTGAACCAGTTTTTACTTGTGGCAACTGTTTAACTTTAGATGCTAACGTTCAACAGTATGATAGAGTTTATTGTGGTGCTGCATGTCCTGAAGAATATGAAGCATATATAAAAAATCTAGTTAAAATAAATGGAATATTAATTATGCCATTAAATGATAAGGTAAATATATCATTTTAATCATTCTCTGGTTGTTAACTTTAAAGCATAGAAAGATACAGAAAAAAAAATTCTCGTTTGAATTAAAGATATTTCAAAAAGTTTTTTTTTTTGTATTAAATTAGTTTATCGTAACGAGTTTATTAAAATAGTACTACATTTTGTGTTTACATAAATATGTTTAAATTTTAAAAAAATTAATTTTCAAATTCAAAATGTAGTGTAAATTCTTAATAAGTAGAGAATTAATTATTTCCTAGATAAAGTCCTTTCTTAATGCATAATTCTGTTGTACAAGCTGTAAAATAATTTTTTTTTTTTAATTAAATTCTATTTTTAATATTGTGGGACAATTTAATTTTTTTTAAAGTTATTTAATCTTAATTTTGTAAAAATTTAAAAAACTACTTTGTTTATTATTGACGCAATTGTTGCTGAACAGATAATATTAATTCAATACTTTTATCTTTTCTACGTCAATTGGATTACAGACCCGCCTACACTCAGACTTATGACCTGGGTTTCATGCCTTTGCATCCTATCTCAAACACTCAGGCCATCATAATATTTCTTCGTATTTTTTCCTTCTGTGTTTACAATTCAATGGACCTGAGCAGCTTTGCATGCGGCACCATTTTTTAATATTTTAAATTTTCAAATTTTAAAAACTTCTATGTGAAATAATATAAATTCAGTTTTCAAATAATGCATTAAACATTTGAAAAATAAACTTAAAGAAAATAAAAGCAAAACAAATATCTACCTCCTTATCTATCTATTGATGTTTTAACTTTTTAAGATTGTATACAGAAAGACAAATGGAAGACAAAATGTTTGATAGACAAAACAAAGAATTTCAAAATAAGGAAAGAGTTATATTTGAAATCAGAGTTTTTAATTAGAACTGATTCAACACTTGTATCAAGTAAAAGCTTTTTTTTTTTTTTTTTTTTTTTTTTTTTTTTTTTTTTTTTTTTTTTTTTTTTTTTTTAGTTTGAATTTGACCACATAAATATGCTCATGCATTTTTTTTTTTTTTTTCCATTTTGGTGAATTACACATCCCAAAGGACAAGTCAAGACTTCTATTCTCATGATTTTTGGAGCATTTTACATACTATAGCGCATGAGACGAATCATTATTAAATGATCTTTCCATTTTTTTTAATAAACAACTAGAAACTTGAAAACTTTAAATTTCTTGACTCTCTGGTTTAGTGCATGTATACATTTTTGATATTTACATTTGGTTTAAAAAATAAGATAATTTCTAAGATCTAAGTCTTACTTGATGATAGGTGACTGCAAAAGCACACAGCAACAATTTGTTTGCCAGTGTTTTTATGAAAAATTTAAAGTTAAGAAATCTAAATGATTAAAAGCTAATTTTGTCATAGCCCAAAATGGAAATCTATTGCAAACAGTTATATTAACTCTTAATTTTATAGAACAAAAAGAAATTTGCTTACCATACCCCTTGCAATCATAACTTTTAGGTTTTAAAATATCACATAGTTATATTAGCTCTTAAGCAATTATATGCTGCACAAATAAATCAAAATCTTCGGAACTTTTTTTTTTAGTTAATAAAAAAATTAGGAATAAAATTATAAAATTCATTTATCCAGAGTAATTATTTTTTAACACAAAAAATATGTAAAGATAATTCTTTTATTTAGTAATCATCAAAACATTTGGTATTTTAAAGAAGGTAAAAAAAAAATTTAATGACAAAATACAAAATTTGAATGATATTGAATAGCAGATATTGAGCTATAAAGTTTAAAGTTGTTTATTTAAATGTTCAATTTCAAATGCTGTTATGTATCTGATTACTATATTAGTAATTTTTTGTAGCTGTTAAAAATTACAAGGGTGAATGAAACAAATTGGACTACTGTAAAGGTTTTATCAGTATCATTTGCTCCTCTTATTCTTCCTCCGTCTACAAAGAAAGGAGAAACTATAGACCATGCTAAACTTGGTATGTATTTGTTTATTTAATATTTAGGGAAAGACCAACTGCTTTTCCTAGTTGTCACTAGGACTGGGCAGTGTAAGAAATTTTATATCATAATGTATCGCCTGTTAGGCATCACAATTTAACATATGATCGGTCAGAAATCTTTAAATCAATCAAATAAACAAAAGGAATAAATCTGTAACAAAAGAAAATATTAATTCTAAAAAAATGCTTTTATAACAGTGATTACCAACTGGCGGTCCGCAAACTAAAATATATTAGTTGTTTTTGCGGACCATTTTCGTAAAAAATTTATATGGGTTTAAATATTTTTCTTCTGTTTAAATAATCTAAATTCTTCGTTTCTGTGAAATTTAACATACTAACAGTGCAAAAAAAATTATTTCTCAGGTTTTACATCCAGAAAATAGTTATTCAAATACAAAAATAATTGTGTATGTTTGTATTTTGTGAATATAATTTAGCAAATGAGTATCAGAACTTTTCTTAGAGAAATTCTCCCATTTAACTCTTTGAAATCACTTATTTTGGAGGAAATTATTTACATTTGTAAATTTTAAAACGCATAAAAGAGGGAATGAATATCATGTTTTATTAATTCCTTGAATTAAATATCGCATGAGCGGAAAAGGAAAGAAAAAAATATTTCAAATGCTCGAGAATTTTTTTGTTGCTCTAATTCCTAAAAGTCGGGGAAAAAACTTTTAAATTTATCATAAAATTAAATTTAAAATTTATTAGATTGAGTTCAGAATGAAAATGTAAGATAGCAGAAAATTCGCAGCGATCGCAAAGTAACAGTAGGTCTACTAAAAATAATTTACAAGAATCATTAAATCCCGACAGACAAAAAAAAAAAAAGTGACATAATAATGCACAACAAAGCAATCGCTAAGTAGCAAAACTCACACTGAAAATAATTTACAAGAAACTTTAAGTCCCAACGAAATAAAGTGAACATCGATCAGAAAATAACGTAAGTCCTGCTGAAAATAATCTCCAAGAAGCCTAAAATCCCAATAACAAAAATGCCGCATAAGGAAGCTAAGCATTGTATTCTATATTTCAACGCTGATCCTCGCACTAAACCAGGAGTTCTGATTCAATTCGCTTTTCGGTATTCAACATTACGAAACTAACGTCGTTTTCATAGCTAGACGCAATCAACATCTTCGCAGCTAGCTGAAATCAAAATAGTACATCAACACAGTGACAGCGTGAGTGTAACCAAGGATCCTCACATGTTATATCGTTAAACCACGAGCATTGTCTTATACCGGCGGCTTAAATCAGATTTCTGATGCATCGCCTAAAACGAAAGTCACCTGCTAATATATGCGTTACATCGATATTTTGCTATGCATCGATTTGTCGCCCAGTCCTAGTTGTCAACAACACAAACTTAAGTATTTACGTATAAATATATATGACTAACTTGGCTTTTAAGTTTCTTAATTGATAAATGCCAAAGGGATTGGTTTTTAACTATTTTTAATTCTTGACTGAATATTTTTTTATCAAATATATTTTGAATGTTAGTTCTTTAAATAGTCTTTCTATATTTAGTTTGCTTCTTTTTTTTAATTTCGAAAAAGAAATGTCTAAATTTTTAGCTTTGTCTTAACCACTTGCGGTTTAGTGAAAGGGCAAAATTATGAGAATGTTACTCCCCTATACACTATTTTTCTATCGAAGCGCATGGAAAAACCATTTTTGTAATGCGGAGAAGACTGCAGGTTAAAAAACGACTTTATATGTGTAGAACTGTCAGTGGGTTAAACAATGGATAAGTTCTGTGGCATAAACTCTGAAAATAGCTTCATAATTGCATCCTAATTCAACTTTTAAACGTTAACAATAGTTCGACTATTGACTTTTTGAATAATCCTGTTTAAGTTTTACAAATTGTATCATAATTTTTATTCAGGGATGAGTTATTTTTCTGCTTTTTGTTTTCTTTAAATTTAATAAAAAGAAAAATGATGCCTTTTAAAAATGATTCTGCTTTTCAGAATTATTGAACAATATAGGGGGTTTTTTTACGTTCTTTCCTACCTATGTAAACACGATTTAAAATTACATTCACTGGATTTAAAATCACAAATAATATTTGTTATTTAAAATAACACAGCACAATTTGTATTCACTCAATTTAAAATTACACATTGAGAATAATGATCGCGCTATTTAAACACCTTTACTTGGAATTTATATTCACACAACTTAAATATCTCACAGAAAGTTATTTCTATTCACACGATTTAATACTTCTCATTACGATTCATTTTCATATAATTTAAAAATCATACATATAAATTCGTATTCAAATTTTTAAAAAATATTGATATTTTGATGTTATAAACTTTTTTTTTTTCAATACCTTAATAAGTAGCATATACATATGGTTATATGTTACTTACATACTTTTTTTGCTTAAATATCAATTTTTTTTTTTGTGTGTGTGTTATGTGTTTTGGGCATAATATTTTTAGATTTTTTACCAAACTCATGCCTGTTACTTAATTATTAATTCTTTTTTCAATATTTTGTTTAATTCTGTAAAAAAATAATAAAGTAACAGAACAGATCAAAATGTAAACAAATTAAAATATTTGATTTATTGTTGTCAAGAACTTATAGAACATTCCAACTGAATCTGTCTGAATTGCACTAATCAGTTCTTAATTTCCCAGTGCCTATTTGTATAAATTTTTATTCCAATAAAAAGCTGCAGTAAAATTACGTAACGTCCACGACTAAAAAACATTTTCGATTATAAATGAAAGTTGTTTATTGAAACACTTTATTTAACAATCATTAAGAGAAAAAGTTAATATCTTCAATCCAAGGCTCAAAATTATTGGAAATGTATCATAATTAACAACTGTAAAACAGGCTAAAATAAATAAATATCGCAAAATTAAATTCGCAGATTTTTTTTTAAATAGATTCTTGAATTGATAAAATAAAGCCGTATACCTTAATGCCAAGTTTACAAACTATTACAATAAAGAACGACACTATTATCTGAATTCATCTTGAAAAACCTTTTATTTTATTTCATATACAATAATTTCCTTTTAAAATTCTGCTATACTTGTAAATTCATCAATATATTTTCAGTGTTAAAATGAAATGTTTTAAAATTAAGATTGGGTAGATTTTTCATTGCCATCTTGATTTTTTGCGAAAAGAAGGAAGTATAAAAAAAATTATGTTATAATTTCACTTAGTTCTTTATGTGCATTCTGAAAAATTTTAACGAATTTATAATATTTCTAAAAATGCCATTTCACAAATACTGTAATTTATTATGAATAAAGTAGTAATGTAGTTGATTTATTTAAGATTTTTAATACTAAGAGAAATTTTAAATCTATGAAAGTCAATTAAAAAAAACTTTGAAAACCTCATATTACAATGCATTTTAAATGATTATTTCTCTTTTAAAGAAAATATTATTTAATTCAAATGAGTTTTTATTGGGGGAAGAAAAGAAAAAACATCAGTTGGATTAAATCAATGAACCCTGGCTTAAACCCTAGTGTTCATAAAAAAAATATCAATGTCATCTATCCTCCCCCCCCCCACACCCATGACTGTAATAACTCAAAAAGGCTTACTTTGATGTTAAATAATAGATTTTTTAAAAAAGAAAACCACCAATATTAGCAACAAAAAAAATTTTTAAAGTATTTCCTAAATTAATATTTCATTCTAAAATTATTAAAATATCAAAGTAGTACCGTTACTGTGTGATCTGAAATTCAAAACTACCTGAAAGTCGCACTTCCCAAGTTTTTCCTAGACCTCCTCAGTTTCTAGTTATCTCAAATTCACTGAATATTATATATTTTTCTTCCTGAACTGTTGTATATACCTGTACCTGTTATATTACCTGGAAGAATAATGTAAGTATTTCTTTTTCACTGTTATATTCTAATTTTTATAAAATACCTATGATGCCAATGACCTTTCTTGGTAAGTTCTAAATGCAAACTATTGCTAAGAAAAAAATTTTTCCCTATGAAAATTTAAATTTCCAGCTTTTATCGTTAAAAAAAATAAAAGAAACACTCCAAAAAGTTTTTTAAAAAAGTGCTAATTTTGTAAGGTACATTTGCAAAATACTGGGTACATAAGACCTCTGGTTGATGTGCCTTGCTCCTTGGAGCTGCCCAGCCTCCAAGTCTAAGATGCATTTAGCGTTGAATTTTTTTTTCTAGTTCTCATTCATTAAAGATATAACTCTAAGGAAATTATGTTTCAAATGTCTTAATTGCAAAATTTGTTTAAAAATTTAAGTTTTTTTATTCCAATTTTACAAAACTTAGATTCTTTTTTCAGAAAAATGTCTTTATTAGATTTTAGATTGATATTTAAGTTGTGTATAATTTTATATATATTATTTAGAAATTAAAAACTTATATTAGATGTTTGAATGTTTTTAACTGCCTTATTCTCCTATTACTTAGGTTTTATTTATTTATTTATTTTTACAAAACTTTGCTTTTGAAACTAGATTAGTGTCATTAAAAGTAAATTTTTTTATACAATTTTTATTGAGTTTTGAAATTCATAAAGTTAATTTAATTAAGTTAAGAACTTTAGTCCATGGCAATAAATAATAATGCCCTTTCTAAAGTTAAAATTTCTCATAGTTTGGCATCTTTTGATCCAGGATGTCCGTGGCTGTGTAAAAAATATTTATCTGGATAGAAACTTTTCTATGAGAGTTTTATAACTTTTTTATTTTTGCATTTCTTATGGTTTCCAACATTATTCTCCAGTACAAAGATAAATCAACTTTCTTTGGTTGTTTGTATTACTATTCACGCTGAGTTATCAGAACTGATCTACCCTACTTTTATTCATAAATTTTAGATTTTAAAGATAATATAGCATAAAATTAATCATTCTGGTGAATTGTATTAATTTTAATTTAGCTTTTTTCCCCTTAAATATCTGTAAATTTATTTGTAAATACCAATATAAATCCTTTTGAGAAATGTATATTTTGTTATTTTAAAATGCATGATAAAAGCATTTAACTTTATTGCTTATGCATGGGAAGTTAAATTAGTAAGTATACTGAATGTCATGACAATTCTCTGCAATTTTTTAATCAAATTTAATTTTTTTAAAAATTACCCAAGCCCATGCAACTGTGTATCCAGTAAAAAATTATATCATACCTACTACCTATACATTTCATAGCCCAAAAAATCATTTGCAATTTAAAGTTGAAATTATTGCATGAAATAATTTTTTTCTGACTCATGAATAATTATTAATTTACTTCTTATCAATAAATTCTTCCTAGTCATTTATTTTTAAACATTTGAGAGGCCAATATTTTTTATTATTTTTTAAACTAAAATTTGATGAGAAATTGTTTAGGGGCTTTTGCCATCAATAAAATCTATATATTATGAGTTACATACGAAACTCAGAATAACAAATACAAACATAATTTGAATGTGAATAATCCAATTAGTTTCGCGTCAAGCTTTCTCTTAAATTTCTTTGATATGTAGTTAAAGAAAAGCATTTTCTTAAACAAACATATCTATCAGAAGGTTTACTTTCTATCGACAAACATGGGTCCTATGGTAATCAACTGATACCTTCATTTTTTTTCTATATAATTCCTAAGTGCTGCCTTTAAAAATGAGAAGGGAAAAAATATTTAAATTTACGATGAAATTGGCACACATTAGTCGCGTTAAACAGTGATAAATTAAATGCACGATTCATAACTTACCAGTTGTAATATCGTAATAAATGTATCAAGATTTTAAAGACCACATGAAAATTGGTAGCTCTAATTGTCAAAAAAACATTGAAACATCATTTGGATTTGCTATGAAATCAGCAAAAATAAAGTTAGTCAAAATGTGATTACTCAAATTCGAATTTAGCACATTGCTATATCGTATTAAAAATATTGGGTTTTTAAAACCATGCAGAATTTCTTACAATAACAGCTGAAAAAGTGATCGGGAAGCAACAGAAATGTACAATAAAATCTGTGCAATTCAAAATTTTGGATATATTTTATTTCATTTATTTATTAATATTTTTTTTTTTTTTTTTTTAAATTTATTGTGTTCAGAAGCTCTCTCAGGCCGCACATTAACAGTCAGTGGACTATATGTGGCCTGCCGGCCACGAATGGTGTAACCCTACTCTAGGAAAAAAATTTATGGATACTAAGATTTTTATCGAATACTGGCTGAATACCCCTTGTTTGTACAGGGTGAAAAGAAAAGGAATCTCAAAATTAGTACTGAACAACACTATGAAAACATTCACCGAACTGCCGACCCTTATTCCAATGTAGCTAAAATAATTTTCAGTTTTTTTTATTTATTTATTTATTAATACTTGCTGCTCTTCCTGGTGGCTTTTTGTTATTAAATGAAGCAAAAAGCATTTTTTGCAGTTTTTCCCATCAGAATAGACAAAAGACTAAGTGAAGATACAGGACTGGGTCTAACTTTATACAGTTGACCATCCATTGCCTATTCCGGCTCTTGTGCCAATAAAATCTGTATGCTTTCATAAATCAAATGAAACATGTACACATTTTTTATCTCTTACTTGTAAAGATATTTTTTTTTTAAAAAAAAAAGCTTAGTTTAAAGTAAAATTAATGATTTATTATGCTAAATAGACTGTCTGGAAATCAGTCTTTACTCGCAAACTGCTTTGTAGCTGGGAGTGCCTCTTCTTACTAGGTAAGCAAAATGGCAATTGCCTTAAGTCATCTCACTCTTCTGTAATTGATTAACAACATTTGTATTACAGAACTGTTTGATATTTTCATTTAAACATTTTCTTCACATTTAAATTTCTATACTTAATTATATTGTACAGGATGGTTAATCTGATAGTACTTGAACATTCATAGCTCCAGTTCTACTGAACCAAACCAAATGAAACTTTAAACATGAATCGTGTTGGTGAGATTTCCATTGGACTAAACTAATTAGAATTTTTTTTTTTACTACTAAAACCAAATGTAAAGGGTGCATATTGTTGATTGTCAAGTCATTCACTAGTGCACTTGTATGTAAATGCGCAAAATATTCCATTAATCTCCGCTTTTTTTTATTATTATAATTCCAACACTGCCTATTTGCAATATTTAAAACTGCTTTTTCCTATGGAAACCTCAACTGCATATGTGACATAAATGTTTTATAAAACTGAAGCTACAGGTCAGTTTAATTTGAACCATCCTGTATTTATTAAATTAAACTTAACTAATAGTGTTTAACTTTTGGTAGGTGACATAACCCCTCCAAATCTTCAACAGATATGTCGATTCAACATCCGTTCTATGCTCCGACAAAATGTTGAAATAGAGCATCCAAAACTGAAACTTAATCTAATTAAAAATGAAAGTAGACCCAGAAGGCAAGTGCGACGCATCGTCATTCCATTTTTTGATGAAAGTGACTTGAGCAATAGCCAAAGTGATTCGGATTACGATTACGACTCTGACAGCCCCGAATACACCATCAGTGCTCGACTCCCCACCCGCATGTCAATATTCCTAGAAGATTTTCTAAGGCGTCATGCAGAACTTCAGTTACTCAGACAAATGGAAGAGGATCGACACTCCAGTAGCAGCGATTCAGACGCAGGAGCCGTAGAAAATTTTAAAGCGGCACCGAATACCTCAGATAGCCAGAGTCAGACTGAATTAACCATGGAAACGAATAAAACAGAGCAGCAATCCTCCGACACCGAACTCTTCTCGCTGGTAACTGTTTCGAATATTAAGCCACAGAATTCTAGCGGCGAGTCTGACAGCAATTTCAATCAGCCACCTAGTCAATCCACTCGAAGCAAGAGAAAAAATACTTTAAAGCGAAAACATGTCAGCTCTAATACCAGGCAGCATGGGGCAGGTGCCAGCACGACCGATTCACCCGAACCTAAGCGAAGAGCTAAGCGTACTGCTTCTACTGTTGTTTGGAAAAGAGTGGCAGAGTTGAAAAAAGAAAAGGAAAAAACAGAAGCCGATGAAGAGGACTCTGATTTCACTTACACTTATTTTCTTTTGCAAAAAATTGGAGCATTACCCCTTCCACCATTTCTTCTAAGATATCTTAATTACAGGAGAGAGAATATGTGAACTTAGTTGTATTACAATTATATAAAATGTTAAAATATTTCTATAGTTACTACAGAAAATTTTTATATTTTATTTTCTGGAATTATGTATTCAATATACTTGGCTGTATTTAATTCAATATTTTATTTATATAAGGCTGTGCCAACTCTTTTTTTTATTATTATTATTTAATTTTTTTTAAAACACCCAAGTTTTCTTGTTTGAAAAACCTCACATACAGGCATTTAAAATATATATATATATATATATATTGTAGTCACAATGTTACATGAGATCTTTTATAATAAAGAAATAAGGAGATCTTTTATGATAGCCAAATGGAAAGTGGATATGCATGATAGTGTCAAAATTACAGTAGCAGTAGCGGCGTTATCATTCAGGGTTAAGAAAGAAAGCAGGAAGAATATACTACAATTGCTTATAATTGATTAGTAAGTTTGCATGAGAGCATTTAAAACGAATGCAAAGTAGTGATAAAGGGCAACTGCTTCCAAAATGGAACAACGTGCTGTACTATGATTTTTGATGGCAGGTTATTTTAATCATACAGAGTGCTGCACATAAGTGACTAGTACTCTTCGATTACCTCACATCATCACTACGACCAATAAATTCCTTGGAAGTCATTGTGTTTGCTTGACCTCAGAAATGGTTTTTGCTGATCTGATATTTATGTTCCTCCATCGTACAAGCACCATTTGTCCTAGACAGTGCCCAACATAAACAACCACCATTTTAGCAATGAACGAACTTTAAAAATCATACATTGTTTAGTTTCTGATTGCTTCCATTTTAAATACAACTTTGCATTCATTTTAACTGCTCTTCGACAAACTGGTTAATTAGTTGTACACAATCTGTAATACAAGGCAAAATGAAGGGTCACCACTTTTTTCATTAAAAATGTACCACATTCTATTTTTTTTAATAAACCCTGCACTATTATGAATATTTTTTTTAATATTCTGAAAACTACTTTTCTTTCACACTTATTTCTAAAAAATATCCGGTGAACCTTTTAATGTTTACCACATTTTGACAATTGCTTTAAAAGGCATTCCTTCCATTATTGGTATTTTATTTTATTTTTGAGAAGAGAATCAAGTTTTAAAAAACGACCTCTGGCCAGTAATGGAATTTCTTAATTATATCCAATAACGCCTTTATAACCATGAATGCTTTTGCTACAGTATTTCTGATGCTGTCACACACGCACACAACTTTTCATTTTGTTATTAATGTTTTTAAAAAAAAAACCTAAACATTTATTTTATTTTAATACCAGGTACTTTCAATTTAACTGAAAATTAATCCATTTAGTGGCAGATTTTAATATTGATCATCATAACCTTTTTATGATCGTGTGATATCATTGTTAGATTTTTTTGAAGATACGTTTTTATGCTATTTCCTTCAGAGATAAATTTTAAGCATACACATCCTTTTCATTGTGCTATTTAATTACTATAAAATAAGCAATATCGGCAAACTTTTTTTCTTCCTTGAATTATATCCAATAATTGTATAAATCCCTTACAAAATTTAAAGTACATTGTAGAAAAATTTATACATGTATATTTGTATATATGAAAATAATGCAAAAATTTAGAAAAGTTTTGAGTTATGTAAACTTTGGTTTAAAACACTTTTATTTTTTCTTTGAAGTATATTTATATAATAGTTAAACAACAACATTGAATTATAATATGCTATCGAAATAAAATTTTAACAAGTCATAATGTTGTCTTCATTACAAATTTTTTCATTTAAAATAAACACAGGCGTGCAGTAGTTTTGTTGAACAAAATATTATGTTTGTTAAACCAATAGTTTTCTCTACTTTTACTTTTGTTAATGTATTAATTTTTTTTTTTTTTACACATACAGTTGCATGGGCTTAAAAAATGTGTTGTAAATTGTCATAATTTATATTTTATTATGAAACCAATTTAGAATTGGCAACCTGATTTCAGTATAACTAAAAATTGTGTAACAATTTTGGTCTAGCAAGTTTTTTAAAAATTTTATTTAAAAATCTGGTTTATTTAAATAGGACATTCTTTAGCTTATTCATAATCATATGTGATATCCTCCATCAGAAAGACTCCATACCGTTTTTAATGTGTGCAAACTCTTTAAAAGTGAACCAGTTTTCCGCATTAACTGAACTTTTACAGGGATGAGATTCTTCCGCGGATATCCGCTTTTTCTCAGATTTTTCCCGCTAATTTCCGCTGAATTTTTTTTTTTTTTTTCTGAAGTTAAAATATNTTTTTTTTTTTTTTTTTTTTTTTTTTTTTTTTTTTTTTTTTTTGCACAAGTTAAAATATTTTATGAGGATTTTCCGCGGAGCGAAATTATTGAAGCCCTCATTCCTCCCTCTGAAGTTTCTCTAAAAATCATTTCCTTGGGATAAAACTGGTTGACCTTTATACAGGGATGAGATTTTTTTCGCTTTTTGTCTCTCGAATTTCAGCCTTTTTATCAAAAACTCAGATTCTCTAAAAGTTTCGTTTTTTAAAAATCTAATATCGTGTTTTGCATTTTTAAAATCGCGATTTTATTATCAAACATCGATTTTCGTATTTACCTGATTTAAAAGTTGAACGTTGCGATTCTTATTCAGGCCATTTAAATATTGAACATTACGATTCTTATTTACGAGATTTAAAAAAACAATATCGCGATTTGTATTTACGAGCTTTTAAAACCCTATGTAGCTACGCGAGCTTAAAATCCAATGCCGTGATTCGTTTTTGCGGTTGTAATATCGCGCGATTTTAAAATTATGCATCTTGATCTAAAAATTACGCATCATGATTTGTATTTTCGCATTTTTTAAATTCGATGTAGAGTTTCATATTCACGTGATTTAAAAGCCTCATATCGGGATTTATAATCATATGGATTACAAGTTTAAACAAAAATTTGACAAAAAAAAAGTGCGATATATATATATATATACTTGGATTTCCTCTTTTTTACTTTCTGACTGCTCTCATCCCTGCTTTTATCATTAAAATATTCAAAAGAAATTTATCTTGCTTTAATATTCAAATACTTGATTAATTAATATTAGGTGGTTAATAAGGATTTAACATAAAAAATTAATCACTTAAAGGGTTAAACAGATTTCAAGCCATGTGTCTTTTCTATGAAATGACTATTGTGGTCTGATGAGACTATCTTTAAGAAACCATGTGTTAGCTTTCAGTTAAAAGAGACGACAGGTGAACTCTTGTGTGTTGCCATGTTACCTGCTTTAATCCTCACTCATTCTCTGTCTGAGTTTTTGAGAAAATGGCGAATGAACCGTAAAAAATTCTACTGAAAGAAAACTTCTTTATTTAAGATACTAATTTTTGAGTATACTGTGAATGACCCAAATTGGTGGTTGTGGTCTTCCACCAGTTAATGTTGACAATCACATAGTCGCTTTGGTAAATGACCCAATTATATAAGCTGGGTCTAGTTAAGTTCCACTGCCCAGTATACACTAAACTGATGTTTTTTAAGGTTTAGTGCCATTGCCCGGTATGCCCTACATCAATGTTCTTTTAAGGTCAAGTGCCACTGCCCGGTATGCATTTAACCGATACTCCGAACCCTGGTATTTCTCCTAATCTATCCTTAACAGATATTGAAATATCGAATAAATATAATAATATAAACGAATAAATTAATATCAAATCGGAAATAACAAATATTTCGGACATTCACCGAAGCGATTATGTGATTGTTGACATTCACCGGTGAAAGTGACATAGAAATTAACAATATTTCAGAGAAAACCGTAAAAACTCAATATGCCAATTAAAAGGTCATTTTAAGGCATTAACAGGCAATAATTCTCATAAATAAAATGATTCCTTTTAATGTGAATGGCGTCATGTTTTTAAACAAAGTAGGATCTCTAAATTTTCACGTTTGATTGACGTTCTGTTAAGTTGAGGATATTCTTACAAAGAATTCCCTTTCATAATCCCTGGATACAAATACCAACATTTCTGCTATGGGAAATTATAAATTCAACGTAATCTGTTAAATAATTGATTTTAATCAATAAAATGCCTTTTCATTTGAATTGGCTAAATTGTCGTAGAAACTCCAGCCTATGAAGGATTTTTTATTTTTATATATACATACAGGGTGTAAAAAAAAAAATAAGCAACTGTCAAATATCTCGAAAAATATGCATCAGATCAAAAAAGTGAAAATAGTCACATTCAATATTTTTAAAAGTTACAAAGCTCGATCTTTTAACTTTGAATTCTTAAATATGAACTCCTATTTATTATTGCAGATTCGGATTCTCCAGAAAAAAGTAACCTTGATTGCGTTGTAGGTTTATACATTTTGTTTCACATGTAACCGAGAAAAATTAAATAGGATACAAGCTGATTTCTTAATCAGCTTGTATCCTATTTAATTAACTTGTAACTTGGCTGTTTTAAGAAGATAAAAATAGCCAAGTTACAAAAAAAAAAATCGAATTTTTATTTTGAATCTGATGGGTCGTTACCCACCATTTTAAACAGTTCATACGCTTTTTAATTTTCCTGGTTATCTGAAGCAAAATGCATAAACCTTACTTTTTTTCCAGAGAATCCCAATCTGCAATAAAAAAAAATTTGAGGCTCATATTTAAGTTTTCGAGATTGTACCGATCCCGTGGGTGGGAATAAAAAGTCTAGTTTGACATCATTAGTTTTTTTTTTTTTTTAAATGCGTTTAGTTTCACTTTATGATCTGATATATATCTTGCTAGATATTTGACAATTTCCAAATTTTTTTTTTTTTACCTCCGTATATATATATATCAATGAACAAAAGAGAGATTAAAAGTTTTCTTGTGAAGTATCTATCAGTAGTCCAACTATTTTCAAAAGAATATACTCGTATATGGTAAAATGAAATTTTAAGGTTTTCCTTACTCCCCTGTATTTTGTACCTCTGGCACCAAGTATTAAGCTATTGGTCATGTCAAACCGTAGGCGAACGCGTAAAGATGCTGTGGGAAAAAGGACAAATTTCAGACCTAGCTCCAACTTAAACCTTCTGTTATATTTATTTTTAAACCTGTACGTAACTAGTTTTAACACAGAGAAATTTGTTGTGTGAAGAGGGAAAAATCAATTATCAGGTTTGATGATTATATATAAATTACAGCTATTGCATTTTCTCAAGATAATAAATTTTTATTTAATTAACTCACTGACCGTTCTGCACGTAAAAAGTCGCATTTGAACCTGCAGTCTTTTCCTCATATTATAACCGTCGTTGAACAGCCGAGCCAATTATGTGTTTAACACTACTAATGTTAAACTCCCTAGCTTTGTAGTTTTGAACCCCATCCGGAAGACAAGGCAACTCCTGGATCAAGTATGGTGAGAAATTTTGCCTTCGTGGAGGACTTATAGATGGAACTAACCCTCATTGAAAACCTCTTACACTTAGCCTAACGGCAAAGGGGCTCTAACCCATGGTTCGGATCGACCACAGTGCTGACGTAAAATATCCTCAATGGTTCATGGGTTAAAATCCCCTTGCCGTCTGGGTAAGCATGGAAGTGTTTTGTGGTTTCCTTTTACATACAACGCAAATGCGGATAAGATCCATCAAAAAAGTCCTGAACCGAGGTAAATTTCTCCCAATTTACTTAATTCAGGGACTCCCTAGTGTTTTGGATTTTGTTCAAAATTTCAAGGCTTTGCAGTTGAACACCAATAGTCGTTAACTCAAAAATTGGATCGACTGTTTAAAGACGGTTATAAAATGAATTAACCCATTGTGCTGCTTTAGTGCAGTGTAAATACAGTATTATTACTACTTCATTTTGTGACGTCACCTGCTAGCCGAGCTTATGGCAAAAATCTTAAATATTTACCTCGACTTTGTTCCAAACTGAAACACGTACTGGTTTTTGAAGAGACTTTGTCCCTCTCTCTACAAAGAAACAAGTGTGACACAAGTAAGTTATTGGACAGGTTAAACCTCTTTCCTGTCTTCAAAAAAAAATTGAAAGCAACAAACCTGGCTACTACAAAAAAAATGAAACTAAAGAGTAAAGTGCGGCTTTCAGGAGAACTCCAGACATCAGTCCCGTGTCGTAGCGGCGGATACCATGGTTACGAGGAATTCGAAATGCGCTCTCTCGACAGCCCCAGACTTTTAGTCTGGAGGAGTTCTAAAAGCTGCACAATAGGCTGCCCCCTTCCGCATTTTAAAAAAAAAAAAAAAAGAAACTTTGTTATGGATGGTGTTTTCAATAGAAATGTAAACAATAACAATCTCGAGCTCGGGACCTACTCTAGTTCCGGTTGAAAAGTTTGCAGCTGCTTACTACATGTTATTCTGATAGGCGATGTTTTCAATAAAAGAAATAAATTAGATAATTTCTGAGCTCAAATCTGCCGTCTTTCATAAGATATTAATGTTATTATGTAATTCTGGGGAGTTTGGAGAGAAAATGTGTTTTAGTTATTTTGTTATTTACTATTAAAAAAGGTGACATGGTTGCTAGATTTTGAATAACTCGCTTTTTTGGCAGTCTTGATTTGGCCTCTTTCCATTTGTTTATTACTGTTTGTTCGTGTTGCAAGCTGTGCACCATCTTACGTTAGTGTTGACACTTTTAGTATTGTAAACACAAGCATAGTAAACATAAGTAATCAAATGCATTGTTTGCAAGAATCTCAAAACACAATGATGCCAAATGGCTTTAAAATACAACT